CGGAATAACTGATTCCAAGAAGCTAGAAGTGCGGTGTGGCTTCCGGCCCGGTCGAAGCACTTCTGTCCATATATTTGCCCTGCGCCAGACTGTTTAGAAATAGTGGGAGCACACCGGCCCAGTCTACATGTGCTTTGTTGACCTAGAGAAAGCGTATGACCGGATCCCGCGTCTGTGATCATGCCTTCGAGCATGCAGCATAGGTGGCCGACTGTTACGGGCGATTAAATCACTGTATTCTGATAGCAGGCGCTGCTTCATAGTAAATGGCGTTAAGTCGAAACCATTCAACGTGTTGGTCTCCGTCAAGGCTGCATCCTGCCCCCTATCCTGCTTGTGTTACACATGGATTGAATAGTTAAGAGCAGCCAAGGCGATAAGAGCATCGGTGTGGAAGATGTGAAGACGAGAATATTGCTGTTTACAGATGACATTGTGTTATTGGCATCTTCTGAAACTGATCTACAGTGCTCCCTAGAAAGGTTCGTGGCCGAGAGCGAAGTGACAGGCATTCGTATGACCGCATCTAAAACGAAAAACTTAGTGCTTTCTCGTTCTCCTCACCGTTGCTCTCTTCAGATTAACGGAGAGTCAGTGGAGCAGGTAGAAAAGTTCAAGTGTCAAGGAGCTGTATTTACTAGTGATGGAAAATTTTAGGAAGAAACCGACTGACGAATTGGAGTAGCCAGTGGCGTTCTGTACGAACTAACCCAATCAAGTGTGACTAAAGCAGAGTTCAGTCTGAAAACTAAGCTCTCGGTGTTCAAGTCGATATTTGTCCCGATGCTTACTTACGGTCATGAGTCGTGGACCATCACTGAAAAACTTCGAACCTGTGTATAAACCGTTGAAATGGGCTTTCATAGACGAGTTGCTGGCTTTACGCGTTTTGACATCCGGAGGAGCCTTGGTATACACTCTTTGCTTTTCGAGATTGTGAAGTCACAGCTGCGATGGTTTGGGCAAGTGTATGCGAATGCCTCCAGGATGCTAGTCTATGCAAATGTTTCTTTCGAAACTGACTGGTAGGAGGCCCAAAGGACAGCCAATGTTAACCTACTGCAAATATATGGAAGGAGTCTATTGCAGAGTCCAGCTGTTTTCTGCCGAAGGTGAGACCCTTGCACATAATCGGGAACGTTAGTAGCTCTTTCTGACGCGTCTGCTTCCACGGCCCGAAAGGAGAAGTCGCCATAGAAGATGAAGACTCGGCTATTACTGAAGTTATGCTGCTTCGCTTAACCTATCAAGCAGTTTAGCATAATAACCATGCTATACATGTTTTCTGTTTATGCATTCATTCCATACGGCCATGTTTTGTGACAACGAGCTCTATTGTAATAATGTCATCATCATCATCATCTTCCATCGCCGCTTCTCCTTTCGGGTCGCAGAGGCAGACGCGTCAGACAGAGTTTCCAACGTTCTCAATCCTGTGCCAGAGTCTGAGCTTCGGCAAAAGACAACTGGAGTCTGGAACAGATTCCTTCCATGTAATATTGGAATAATAACCATTCTGTAACAGTGTTATATAAAGAAAAATGTTAAAAAATTACTGTAGATGTTGACCTGCTTCACGCAGTTACGCGCAGCTTTGCAGTTGGCAAATCCTTCAAATATTGCTCAGGCGTTTGCTTATCGGATTGAGGGAGACAGTTTGGAAGTTTTAACACTGTATCGGTGGCATTGCCTTCCAGTTGAGTGTAAGATTAAAATCTAGCTGATTGAAAGAGAACAGTCTATTTTCCAAAACATCGTATCCTACGGCATAAGGATTTAGAAAGTAACGAAAAATACCGAAAATAAAATACCGACACACGAAGATTCTAAAATAGTGCACCGGAAAAACTGTTTGTGTGGAAAGACATTTCAGAAATTGGACGAAATCTGAAAACGCGAATGAGTGAACACATAGTTTATGAAAGCGGAGCAGACGAGAATGGAAGTCTCTGTATAACATGGTATACTAACGGATCATGCCAATGCAAGAATATACAAATAGCATCGCACGTAAGGAAGCCACTTTGCAAAAAGAAAAGTCTAGGAAGCATTCACGGAGTGGTGCGGACAAGAAACAAGATTAAAAAGGGAAAAACTCAAAGATTATTCAAGCATGACTACCGATGTTACATAAATGGATTGTCAATGAATGTATGGTTATTTAACTTGAGTCTGTCTCTCGTTATAACACTCAAGACGCATCAAGAACAGCCACGACTCCGGAACCAAAACAGAGATTCTCATCAGTAACAAATGGGCGGTAGCTACATGCGGTTTCACTCTATCAACAGTTAGGTTGCCACCTTGAGACACAACCATTCCAGATCTTGCTCCTGATTCAATAATGGCAATGTACTCCCGGAATCCGAACTAGACCACCTAAATTATAAAATGAAAGAATTTACTTAAATAAATTAATATTTGCAAACTTCACTAACAGGTCAGTGTCTAAATCCCACAGAAATGTTTTTTGAAGAATACTTGTTGCCATGAAAAGTATTACTGGCACTTTAAACGGTTACTTCATCAAAGTGATGGAAAGTTGCAAATGGATTGAGACAATAAAAATGCAACAGAGGTAAATAGAATAAGCTAAAATTAGTCACTGTTAATGAAACATTTTAAGATTAATGTAACCGAACAATATATGAAGAAATGTCAGTGACGTGCTTGCTGCATGTTTCAGTGAGTTGCGTATTTGTAATCTTTCAATTTATTTTCTAAAAAATGTTTTCAAAAAATGCTATTCAAATATGCAAAACTACTGCACTTACTCTTGTCTTTAGTTTTCAGTAATATTCAAAATATGATTTCACGGACTCAAGGATTTTGATTTCGCAACCGTTAGTATATGACAGTCTGATACTGTACTTTGCGCACATGACTATCAGAATGCGTATGACAAACATACCCGGTAAATATATATATGGTTCTGCCGTATGTTCTTGGCGATCTTGTTTCAGGTATTTTTGTACTTGTCGGAGGGGCAATATGAAAAGAACGTTAAAGTTGATATATTAATCGTGGAAACGACTGAGCGGCGTTTGCTCGCATGGTCGGGTGATTGTTTTATTTCTTGTTCGAAGGCGGCACAGTTTCCTTGTCGTCTACAGAATGACGCTCGGTTTCTTGGTGCGCGCGATTCTGAACCATGCGTTTTAGGCAGTGTTAGTGGCCGTCAGCGCGTTTGGTGTTAGAACCAGTCGTGTTTGGTGGCGAAGAACAGGGCGACTCGTTTGACTCGGTTGACTCGATTTAGCGACCTGAGTGGCATGAACAGCAACGAGGTGTACGAACACATCAAGCACGAACAGATGAACGCCGGCGTCGACTACGCGATGGACACCGGCATGACCCTGGATCAGCTGTCGTCGGGTGGTCATCAATGTCCGATCTGTCTGAAGGTGTTCGTTTCATCGAAGGGTCTGCAGCAGCATTCGATCATTCACACCGACCGCAAGCCGTTCTCGTGCGAAATCTGCGGCAAACCGTTCCGCTTCAAATCAAATCTGTTCGAGCACCGCAGCATTCACACCGGCGAGACGCCGTACGCCTGTCCATTTTGCGGCAAGGCTTGCCGGCTGAAGGGCAACTTGAAGGTAAATCTATGTTGCTGTCGGTATGCTTTACCGTCCTTGGCTTACCGCGGTCATTGCCGTTGTAGAAGCACCTGAAAACGCACGTCAAGGAGGCGGACGAGATCGATCGAGCGTACGAGGCGGTGACCGGAAGCACCGGACGCCATAGTGTAATGTGCCTGAAGAATGGCGAATCCGGTGACGAAAGTTGCGCTGCCGACAGTCCGTACTTAATCAGCTTCGCCAAAGGCCGACAACGGCGAAAGACCGTTAATCCGCGAAAAATAGCGAAGGCGCCCAGTGTCGCTTTAGTGGTGACTGTCGGCCAGGACGAGCAGGAGGAAGAACCGTTTGCTGAGGTACGTGTTGGTTTCGTTTTACCGTGATAATGAAGCGCGAAGACTTTCAGGCGCCGCCGACGTTCCCGCCTCTTACGGAAATGATCGGTAAGGAATACTCGATGGCCGAGTTCTGCAAGGTGGCGAGGGCAATTCCGTTCGAGACGCACCAGTGTCGTCTGTGCCATCTTTCGTTCAGGAGCCGCATGGAAATGAGGGATCACTGTGAGATGATGCACAATATGAGTCAACAGCTGCATGAAAACGGAGTGGGAGAAGGTTTTATATGGTGTGAAACGTGTATCCGACCTTTCGATGACCAGAAGTCATATGATCAGCACATGTCCTTTCATCGACGTATCCGCAGTATGGTAAATCGTGGAGATCTTGTCTTGAATGAACCCGATGCTCCTTCGCTTTAATTTGTCTACTTGAAAACTGTCTGGACCAGTTGCTATTACAGTTGAAGCCGCTCGAGCGGCCTAAAATTACAACGGGTTGTAAACTTTCATGGACTTTGTACTTTTCTGTGTATAATTCATTTAGTCGTCCATGTTGGCATGATGCTTATGCCAAAATCGAACATTTATTGACAGCAGTTGTTACTAGTCGTACCTTGCTGTGTGAACGTCAAGTACTGATGACACATTAGACGTTTAATTCTGTTTTGAATACTTTATAGTAAAAGCTTTCAAAAAACGGAATCGACTAAACCAGAGAAGATACTGAATAAAACGGGAGAGGAATTGGCTTACTTCCAAATGATTGCTAGCCGCCTATTCGTCATTCAGAGTAAAAAACGATTTTTTCTACACAGCCGTACTGCCACCGAAGTAGCTTATTGCTATCAAGAGTGAGAAATGCACAAATATTACTATTTATTGCAGCATGGCAACCATTATACATACAACCGTGTTTCATGTCCATTTTGTCCCATGGCCTTCTTCAGCCACAGTGGTGATGATTTCTGAATAGATTGCACTTCTGTTCGATGCCGAAATATATTGAAGTGCATCCGCCTGTCCCAAAGAATTTTGCTACTTAGCGGTACCCATACGGAAAGGGGTTACGTTGAATTGATGAAGCATATAAAGATACTTTTCGAATGTATGTCGCATCAGACAAAGAAATGCCAAATTAGCCAGCGTTACGAGAACATTCTGGCCTTTAGAGTATAGAAAAATTAAGCTAAAAGGCAATGTTTGCAATACACACTGCAGCTTCTGAACGGTTATCCGAGAAGTGCGACAGTTATCTGAAAAGCAGGAGACCCGACCCATATTTATCTAAGATGCCTTATGCTGGCCATTGTCAGATCAGGAGAATTGCCTCATGAGATGGGCTAAGGATCGCCAGTAGCAGGTTAACACCTGTTCTCTAGTGTTACCGTCGATAATCAATATTTTGCAAACACTGAGATTAGAACTTGAAGTGTTCAAATGCTTTGCTACGTCTAAAGTGAAAGAGACATGTGATGTAGGTTGAATTTCGGCAAAGTTCGATGTAATTTACTTCGTGTATCAGTAAGATCACAACAAGCTGCATTTCGATTGAGAGCAGTGAAGAACAAGAGGACATGCAAAGAGGCAAGAGGGGCTTTAACGTGATCATAGATTAAATTGCGTGATGAATGAGCTGTCAGGGAAGCGACGCATATTCACGTTCTGGATTTAACAAGCATCTGAAGATGGTGGGTGGAACGGACCACCTCTAAACCTACGTACGGTAGACAACAGGTTTGAATTGGTTTTTGTGTGACTTCAGCTCAGACCGGCAAACCGATAAGGTATCGTACACTGAATATTTTCGATCGTCCATTATCCCTACGCGAATTGCAGCTGCTGATTCCACCACTTTTCTAGCGATACTGTCCATCCCTTCCTTTTGGTGTAGATTACCAAGCAAAGCCGCTGCAACATGGAGCACAGCTTGTGGATTAAGTTAGAGAAGTAGACTGGCGGTGCCTATTCAATTACAGGCCGTACGCATGTCTTTGAAAAAGACCGCATAACTTCGGCGGTACCTCAACCTGTATCAACCGCCAAAGAAACGAGGCGACCTTACGCACGTTCTGAGCTATGCTAGCAACATACTTTGCACGGTCTATGCTGTCCTCCAGGATAACAACTAGGTAGTTGCCACATGAT